TATAGCACAACCGTCTAAAAAAAAAAAAAAAAAAAGAATTTGGTTCTGAGGACATGGAGAGAAGCCAGGGTGCTCACAGGTTAGTGAAAGGACAGAGAGGCCAGGTGGGTGCTTGAGTCAGGTCACATATGTAGCCTGGGACGTCCCAGCTGGACTTGGGACTTTTTCTTAAGAGCAATGGAGAGTCACCCAAAAGTTTTAAGCAGGGTTGTGAAGGAATAAGACCTGTTAGTCTTTTGTTTGGATTTCTTAAAGAGCCTTCTAGGGCCAGCTGGTGGTATGGTGGTTAAGGCTGCTAGATCCCATGTGGCAGCTGTGTGGTTCAAGTCCCAGCCTCAGTGGCCTCAGAAACACATGAGGTACTTGTGCATGCCCAAAATCCCAAGAGGAGAAGGGATTGCCACATGGCCATCCTCCCTGGGGGATGCCTTCTCACTTTCTCTCTCTTCTGTGGAAAATTAAAAACAAAACAGACAAACAAAAAAACCCCCACAAAAACAAAAAAAGTCTTTTGAAATTAGGGATAAGGACTGTAAAAAAGCAGATGTGGGAAGTCATTAGGAGCTTGACACTGTTTTCCATTTAGACCTCAGCAAAACAGAAAGGCCCCCTTAAGTTGGGTGGATTCTCGGTCATTCACTGAGTTATGGGACCTTAGAGAACTCCAAGGCCAACCTCTTCAATCAGTAGGAAAATGGAGGCCCAGAGAGTATGCCAGTGGTGGTGGTGGGGGGAGGTTGGAATTTCCTAACTCCCAAGGCCGGGGTATTTTTCAAAGCTCTGTGGCTGTCTCCCAGAGTCCCTAGCCATCAAAGGGGTTGGGCACTCTGAGTTTTGGGTGTCACTGTTGCTGGGGAGCGGGAGGGAAAGATGTTGACCGAGAGACCCTTCACAATCGATGCAAAGCACACTTGCCTTGGAGAGTTATGAGCTGGTGTGGGGTAAACCACCAAACGTCTGACTCTGCTTTACATCCTGCTGTCTCCTGCCCTCAAGCCCTATCATCTGTCATCAGAAGCAGGCAGGGGGGCCTGTATGAAAGGGTTAGGGTCCCACCTGCTGCCTAAGGGGTCCCCACACAGATTAGCCATGATAGGGACGGGAAAATGGAGAGATGGAAAGAGAGAAGCATGGCTTGACAGATTAATGCATAGAGGAGTTGAGACTCTGCTAGCGTTTGGGTGACGAGAGTGAGAATGGAAGGTATTCTATCGCTTCCCTATTGTACTAATACCCTGCAAAGATTAGCTTTGAACTTACATGCTGAAATCAATGTCTGGAAAACAACAAAATAAGTTTTTGTAGATGAATGGACAGACAGCCAGGCAGGCAGACTGCACTGGAAACAATCTGATGGTGTAGTCTTGTCTTTTAATGCCCCCTTTGGCATAACCCTGCCCAGAGGACCCTAGCCCCAAACTCCCTACGTTTGTAGGCCAAGGAGCACCCAAGGCCTCCCTGTTGAGAAGAGGCCACAGTCTGAGTCCGCTGTCAGCCCTCAGGTGTGGATCTTTAGCTGTAACCCTACAACTCCTCTCTTAGGAAGGTCACAGTGGACAGCTGGTGGCCCTTCCTCATCAAAAACCTGAAATCATAGCATGGGGGTGGTGGGTGGAGCTACGGGTGCTCCTCAAATCACTTCCCCTCCCCCTGCCCATGCACATCATATGATGCTGGCTCCTCTACTCCAGCCCAGCCTGGACATGTAAACAAGCCTCCTCCCTCTCTGTACAGGAAGAAAGGGGTGTGGCTGCAGAAAACCTGGGGGGCTGTCTCTGTTGTGAGGACAGGGGACGATCTCCTGTCTCTCCTGCCTGACCCCCCTGAGGAGTCCTCTGGTTAGGGACCAGCCTGGGAGGGAGGGAAAGCAGGTCATGAACGAACCCGGAGGAGCCAAGGAGGGCCCACGTGTGGGCGTTAGCAAGTGAAGGCAGTGTGGGCACAGCTGAGGGGACCTAAGAGATGGGGGACACAGAGCAGTGGGAATTCCCTGCTCAGAAGAGGTGGGGGGTGCTGGGGTTCTGGCAAAGGGTCGGAGAGATTTGGCTTACTGTCAAACATGAGGAGCACGTTTGTACCCCGGAGCTTCTTGGAAGGTCGGATTGTGTGGGTTGGACAGGCTTGTGTTCTTAAGAAGGGAGAGTTTGGGCCCTTGAGGTTCTGGTTGGGCTCTGGGGTTGGCCGGACTCCGAGGCCAGAGGACCAGAAGGCGCAGGGCAAGTCGAAGCTGTGCACGTGCATGGGTTAGGCCTGAGTGGGGTGGCCTCCGACAGGGTTTGCAAGTGCCAGGTCCAGGGTTTGGGAGGTTGAGGGTGTTAGAGAAAGTGGAGTAAGTTTCTGAATTCCAGGATGTGGGAAGTCTGATGGGAGGGGTGGCAGAGAGGTCCAACTGCGAGGTAGGGACTGTGGGTTGGGAGACGGCGGGAGCTATATGGAGGCTGGAGTGAGCAGGTCAAGGGACCAAAGTAGGCTAGAGAGAAGATGTAAGAGAAAATTCTGGGCCGGGGGGCTCTGCGATGGGGCGGGGGCTGGGCAGAGGGGGGCTGGGGTCGGGAGGGGTTG